CACAGAGAGAGAGAGAGAGAGAGAGAGAGAGAGAGAGAGAGAGAGAGAGAGAGAGAGAGAGAGAGAGAGAGAGACATATATGGATAACCAAAACGATAGCCAGGGAGTTGAGAAGAGGAAGACGAGAATATATACATTACATTAGGTTTAATTATTCATTAACATGCTTGAACGTTTCTCTGCATTTCACTAAAAGGCCAAATTAACATGCTTGGCGTGGTGTTTTTAAACTGTTTGCCTTAACCTAACCAAGAAATACGGATGCTATCTGAAAAGAAGTAATGATTATTCATGATTTTTCTTCTTTTCGTAATTAACTTTCATGTTTTTATTGAGGTTTGCTCGTGAATTAAGCAGACAGATTAATATTCACATATTAATGAAGTTGATTATGATTATGTTAATGCAATTAGAATAGAAAATGATGATAATGGTATGATAAATATAAATTCAATGATCATAGCACTTATAAATAATAACATGAAAAATAATAAAGATAATAATGATTAATATTTTTTTCATTGTTATTATCATTATTATCATTATCGTTCTTTTAATCTATCATTATCCTTATTGTCATTATCATTGCCAGTACCATTATTATTATTGTTACCATTATCATTATCATTGCTATCATAATCATCATTATCATTATTGTTTTCATTTCTATCTTTAGCATTAACTGTACTAATAGCAAAGGGGATAATGATATTCTGAAATTAGAATGTATTTATGCATAACCCCCCCCCCCCCCCCACACACACACACACCCTTCCGTCTTTCTATCAGTTTTTTTTTTTTCTTTCTTTTTTTTACAAATACCCAGGGGCTTCACTAAGACACGCTACGCAAGGGCCACAGTAGGATACAAAAAAACACAATGATTCATCAGTCACTAAACAGTAGCCTCTGATAGGTCGTAAAATAAGGTGAGCACTCTTGAAAAATGGGGGAACAATCCTCTTTCGCCCTCCTGTAGTGACGCCCCTGTATAGACTCCTCAAGTGACTAATGCTGCGTTCGGAACTCCTCGTTTTGCTCGTCTAGACAACTTGTCCAGGACCAGCAGGGCAAGTGGGCCGCGTTCGGAACCTCCAAGACCCTCTCTGCCCTAGAATGCAACCAGCTCGAATGTAAACATTCACTTTTTTATCTTACCGGTGTCTTTATTTTACGCGTAACGCTGCACAGGTTTTGTAACTCATTTGATGCACTTAACTGCAATTGACCACCACAAAAATATCCTTTGATAACACCAATAAAGGGTCATAAAATTACCCACCAACATCTTGTGGTTACCTGCAACTGTCAATGTTTACATACAAAATCTATTGTGACGTCATCTCGTTCTGCTCGCCCAGGTTTGCAGGAGGGCGAGATGGACGAGATGGACAACTTGTCTGGGACGATATAATAGGGGTTCCGAACGGTCAAAACATCTCGTCAAACTGGTCTGGACGAGCAGGACGAGCAGTTCCGAAAGCAGCACAAGAATGTTCAGGTAACGTTATCAACCCAACCGTTACCATACGATGATCGTAGAAAGTGAATGTTATTATTTTGACAATTTCTATAGCCTATAGTAACCAGATTATGAATATATTAACAATTGTGCTTACTATTTCGTGGATTTCAAGATGTTCTGTCTGTGGCAAATGCGCGGTGTTTTAAGATGATCTATTGCACCTTTGAGAAATTGACACTGAATTTTACGCTCTTTGTCTCCACAGACTACTAGACCTAAATATAAATATTTACCCTAAAGATAACAGGATTTGGTCTTTGTCGTTATTCTATTATTATCCTTAATGATCATCAGTTTGAGTAATGATTTTATATGACAGTTGTATGAAGTTTAATTCTCAACATTCACAGGTTGACGTACAGCCGTATTAAATTTCAACACGAGATTGCTATACTCAGCTTGTTAATTTATTCATGTTAGTGCTGCCAAATGAGCTTGACTTTCTTTGAATGAAGTGTAATTCTTTATTTAACTTGATGTTCATTTTTGTTCAGTTGTTACCAAATTATAGGTAAAGATGACCGTTCCCGTATGGCTAGCTAGAATAAGGAGCTACAATATAGATAACTCCTTCAAAGTAATGGTCAATTACAAATCAGTGGCTCGTAAGTCATCATGCGCATAGCATTGATAACCTCAGAATTGATAAGATATTAGGATGCACAATTTTCACAAAAATAGAAACGAAAAGTAATCAGCAATGGAACTTTCTCTAGGGAATCATATGTCAGATCTGGAATACCGCAAGGTCAATTCTTGAGCCTCTTTTGCTTTTGAGTATGGCTCCGGGAATGAAAAGGGAATCAAACACTTAGCATTATGTGTAGACGATACAAGATTGAATGCATTTCAGTAGATGGGGAAACAAAGAAGATTTAGAAGGTAATCATGATAGGGTAAATAGATCATTATTTAATTATATATATTTTTTTTTAAATAAGAAACAGTCTGGTTGGAATTCCAAGACCAATATGCAGTCGAGTGAGCATCAAAGAGAAGGTAGTTGTAAAAGACTTATGCCTAATGTGTAATGATACTGTAGGTCAATAAAGTTAAGTGAATGGAGGAAAGGAATTTCTGAAAAAAAGGAACTGGATTATTCCTTCCACCGTGGAAAACTTGTAAGCAGTATCGTACCAGCACATATATGTATGTTTATATATATGTATTTATACACATGTGTGGGTGTTTTTATGTGTATGTATGTGCGTGTGCGCATAATCATATACATATTTATACACATGTATATATGTATAAATATGTATATTATTATGTAAATATGTATTTGACTGTGTGTGTGTGTGTGTGCGTGGATCAGAAGACCAAACTCGATCCTCGTTTTCTATGACGCATGTGCACCGAGATCACAAGCTTTGTCTTGCGATTTCAATGTGGATAAACGCACTCAGAAGTAGTGTAAAGTTCACATTCTTTTCAGTAAAACGTGAACCTTGTCTATAAACCTTTCCTTAGAGTTTGTGAACGAAAGTAATTTATGTTGGGGTTTGCGGCGGAATGTTTCTTGTTCCTAATTTGATTATGAATGGCAATAAATGGCGCACGATTTCAAATATTTTTTTCGGTATCTGGCACTGATATTTTTTTTCTTCGGCCAGTTTTCCAGGTTTTTATTTCCGTTATCGCGTTATAACAACAAACTGATGTATATTTCAGTAAGTTAAAACAGACAGAATACTACCGCACTACCTTCGAAGGTAGTACGGTGGCTAATTAACTACTTATCCTAGACTTAAATCTGCCACGTGGGATGTATCTAATACTGATGATAATTGTTATAATTAGCCCATTCTACATTTGTCTAAATGTATAGTATCATAACATTGTGCCAGAAGGAGACCTCGCTGCGCTTTTTGTTGTTATTGTTTTTACTGAAAATTTTAAATTTTGTGAAATGATGTTTTGTAATGCCTGGAACATTTTTCATCACAACCATTAAAAGTGTTTTCACAATACGAACAATGTAATGCAATTATGGTTCGATGTCGTGCAGTGTTCACTGCATGCAGCATTGTAAATAGCTATAACACTCCTTTGTACTGAGAAATGTAAAAGTACCCTAAGCAGGGGACACTTGATTTATATGCTTCAATTTACGTGGTACCAACAGGGTACACGGAATAGCATGTAATGAAAAGATGACATATCAATGCAATGCAATACAAATAGACAACCAGTACTTTCTTCATGTTACACGTTTTCCACAGTAGGTCCCTGGAGTCCCTCGGTAAGCGGGGACGGTTGTCCTTCGAGGAAAAAATCAAGCAGAAATTGCGTTACAACTACAATGATGACAATACGAAAAATCCTTCATGTCAGTGTCTTTAGGGTATCATTGTCCTTAGGTTACAAAGCGTTGCTACGTTGGAAGGAAATAGTTCGTGCTTCATATAGCTGGTTCACATGATCCGTCAGAGGGACATTATAATACAATGGCTTGGCTCCGGGTCGAAATCAGGGTAGAGAAATCGCCGGGCCGTGTGCGTTGGGGTCAGTGAGGTTAAGCGCCTGTCTATCCACGTGTGCAACTAACTGCTTGTTTCGGTAATTATGTGCTTAATCTCTCTTTTTTGCCTGTCTATATACCCGGCTGTGTCTCCCTGTCTATCTGTTTATGTGTGTGTGTGTTCGTGCGCGTGTGTGTATGCGTGTGCGTGCGTGCGTGCGTGTGTGTGTTTGTGTGCAAAGTGTGTGTGTGTGCGCGTGCGCGCCCGTGCGTGTGTTTACGCGTGCGCGCGTGTGTGTGCATACATTACTTTACAATAGTAGTGGGAGTGGGGGTGCTCTGCAACGTCGTCATGATTTCTTACGATGAACAAACACCAACCAACATCGGCAACAATGAAAAGCATCAATCAAGAAGTAGCGTCTGGATCTCGTCGCGCCAAATATAAAAAAGATAATCCTTTCCCTGAACATGAAGTAAGCTCTCAAAGCTGGCTGCAACACTGCATTCTACGAAGGGCTTCTCATCTGAGTATGCAATATGCAAATAATGTGATGAATTGATTTAGATTTCGATTTCTTGCAATGTCTGTATATCAAATTCGATTCAATATCGGGTAATGATCTGATACATATTCATATTTCCATACCGGAGAAACCGTATTTTGGCATCACGTTTTTGAGGTATACTGTTTTATTTCAATGTATCCCTTTAGATATAAGATATGTGTAAGGTAGAACTCGAAAGTCATTTTGTTGACGTGGAGGAACTAGGAATGTTTTCCCTGCTGATTGAGCTGTAATGTATTGTATTGTAATTAATGTTTATCTAATCTAATTTGATTTAATTGTATTATCATCATGCATTCGACGTTATATATAATATTTGTATTAAATTTCAGTCAAAATAGTGTGTAAAATACGAAATCAGGTGTTAGGTAATTAGACGCTAGCCCATCTCTCTATTCAGTTCTGATGCTACTTTATAGAATATCTCTATCATATTTTCTAAAATGCAAATACCCATGCAGGTACCTAGGCCTATTTACAACTGTAAAATCGAAACCCGAAACGATTCTCGAACAGAATCCGTCGGTTGTTGTTACTGGCCCACTGTGCATAATCAATGAAATCCGGTTATTTCTAGTTTTCCCGATGACGAATCACATTTTACCCAGATGTCCAGGTATTCCGATGACTGTTAACTCTGACGCGGCATAGGAGCATCATTGAAAAGACTGTGGGGCGAGCATCCACAGAAACAGGTTCGTTGGTTCACCTCCATGCTCTGAGCAAGGTCTATATACTTATATAGACCTTGACTTTGAGATATTCCTGAGGTCTTCCTAAGCCTAATCGATACGTGAAAAACCTCAGCCACACATGGCAGTTGCTGTGTGTGCCTACGGACTGATGCTTATGCCAAGTCACGGCTTCCCTCCTCAACGGACTCGCCCCCCATCGAGTCAGTCACTCTGCACCAGCGCCTCACTTCACCCGCACCCTGTCTCCCCCGCGAAACAAGGCCCCGTTTCGCTGAAATATTATAAAACGGGATTTAATTAGCACTCCCAGGTGGACTCGAGGCGAGGTTGTGGGTAATCATAATGGCTGAAGGGAGGAGTGTTAAAGAAAATACTAGTTTTCGGGGGTCTGATTCAACAGAAAGAATTAGTACTTGTAATGTGTCCACTGACGTTTTTAGCGAGAAAAGTGTAAAAAGGGAAGAACATGTATTTGACTGTAGGAAAGCGCTTTTGCATGATGGGAAATACGCAACACTAAGCCCCACTCACGCCCCACAGAATGCAGCGGCAGGAAGGAACTGGCCTTCCCGTGGGGCGCGTGCGAGTGCAAGGGCCGTATCGGTTTCGCTTATAAACATTAGTGAGTCTCCGCAACTTTATACAGTAGAACGAAATTCGCATGTACTTTCCACGTCCCTGCCAAATGGTTTGGACTTAAGAATGCCGCTCCATTCTAGCTGGGTTCCTGAAGGGCTTCCTAACGCAGGGACTCGGGAGCACTCTTACCTAAGTAGCCAAAGACTTTCCGACCCAGATCCTCAAAGGCTTTCTCAATTAAGTGCTCAAGATCACTCTAACTCACACACTGAAGAGCAATCTGTCCTTGCATCAAGTTCGTTCGGTGACACTTTCGAAACAGCCGGGAGTTCTTCGTCTCCTAGCGGCATGCAGCCGCACTCGCACGACGGTCATGCTTCGCCTCAGAATCCTAGCGAGTCGACACCTCATGACCAACGCCCCCAGGAGGAGGAGGTGCGTCGCTTGAGTATAAGCAGCCTCTTCATCTCTCAGTTCGCAAATAAACGGAACAGAACTCCAAGCATCTGTGTCCACCGCGTGTCCTTGCCCAGAGAGGGTCCTCCGTGCTACAGCTGCTCCACTTTTGACCTTCCGCCGAAGTACCATAAGGTCGATGAGCCGGGATGGAAATGGGCAAGAAGCAGATTTTTACGCATGTACCGTGGCTTGGTCTCCTTCGGCCAGCCGGGGCAGCAAGCTGACCTTCCTCTTCGCCCGGAGGGCGACTGGAATACCCCTCCGTACACGATCGCCCTCGGGAGCCACCAAGAACCGTCTTTATGTACAACTAACAGTTCTTCCGACGATGGACCCTGTGCCGAGTGTCCCAGCGGCTCGCCCCAGTCGTCGTCAGCTGTTGCGAGCAGCGCCCTCCCAACCCAGATCCACCGCCCGCCCATGAGTGATGTCCCTCCACCCTACTCGCCGCCCACTCCTGCGTCACTCATGGCAGGTCAGTCTCTGCCTCAACTAACGGAAGATCAGTTTTTTGCCATGCGTCGACCGACGCCGGTCGAGATGGACCAAGTAACTTTCAACTTTCACCAAGGATATTGCAACAAATCTTGGTATGTTTTTATTATCAACCCAAAAATGTATATCAAAGTAGAAATAACACAAACAGTTTTACCTTTAAAATCATAAAACAAACATTGTCTTTTTTGCACCACTATTCTCTTCTTACTTCTTGTAAAGCAAAAAATAGATTTTCTCTGACTAAATCTTCCCACACGAACACCCATTCCAGCCACTGCAACTTCGTCTATTCCCTCCTGTTGGCTATCATCACCTCCGTGAGTCTGCTGGGACCCGAACAACCCCTCATCATCCTCATATCTGCAGTGTTCTTCCTCACCGTCTTCCTTTACATGCCGATCATATGGGCCCTGGAATGCCTGTTGCACTGGAGGACGCACGGGAACTGCAGAGACATGCGCATGACAGGACTTGGAACAGTTTCGCCCGTTTCCGTCCTGTAGATTGGCATTTTTTCTCTCTTTTTCTGTTTCTGTCTCTCTGTCGCTCTGTCTTTCTTTGACTGTATCTCTCTCTCTCTCTCTCTCTCTCTCTCTCTCTCTCTCTCTCTCTCTCTCTCTCTCTCTCTCTCTCTCTCTCTCTCTCTCTCTCTCTCTCTTGTTTTATATGTATGATTTTCACTCTTTAAATCTATATGTTTCTCCTTGTTTCTTATTTTTCTTTTACTGTTTTATTCTCTCACACTTTACATGCATTTCCTTGTCTCTCCGTTGCCAGTCTTTCATTGAATTATGTATATATAAAATAATATTTTGTAAAATATATTTGACCAAAGTTAATGATCAACATTTTGATCTACTTTTACCATAATCTGTAACAATATCTAACTTTGCGACTTTGCTAAATTTACGATTGTTTGCATAAATATATTCGTTCAAGTCAGGTTGTATTTTGTACTGTATTCATGTTGACAAATGTAGAAAAGGTACGCATGAGAATGCATATCTTCACAATAGAAGAGGTTTCGAATATATCTCCACCAGACATACGTGTATTTCGGACGAAGATATAGTCGAAACTGTTTTAAATACATCTCTTGTATTGTGAAGATATTCATTCTCACTCATACCCTTTCTACAGGTTGCATTTCCCTATATGTTAGTGATGTTTGATACATTTTTTTTTTCTACAGTACGATAAAAGACATTTTAAAGTGTTAACTGTATTGAGCATAACTGTTGATGAATTACATGATGGATATTAATAAACAATGAAAATTAATTCATCATCTTTTGTCTCCTGTTTAGCATTTAGATTTAAGGATCGGTATATAATTAATTTTCAGATTGCCCCGTTATTTGATATCCAGTATCCAAAAGGGGTTTATTAAAGGATACTGAATGTTCAAGTTAAAAGCTATTATAAAATCGTAATAGAGTCATTGGATGTGCAACTCACGATAGAATGTGAAGAAAATATATGCATCAGAAAAAAAAAGAAATTGATTTTATCTCTCGCTAAAAATCCTGAATAAAAACAATTAATTTTATTAAGAAATGGAACGAAAAAGGCGAAGAATTTTCTTTCCAGAGTCATCCTAGACAACTGCTGAAAATGAGAGAATCATTCTGACAACTGAAAAAATAAATAATGATAATAATAATAATAATAATAATAATGTCATTCTAGACAACCCGATATAATAATAATAATAATAATGAAAATAATGATAATGATAATAATAATATAATGATAATAATAATGATAATATAATAATAATAAATAATAATAATAATAAAATAAATAAATAAATAATAAAATAATAAATAAATAAATAATAAATAAATAAAATAAACAAAAAATAAAACAATAAACGAAAAACCATTAAAGAATGTTATGATCTAATTCTAGTGGCTAATCAGATAGGCTAAATAAGTCAATGAATATAGAAATTATCAGCGGAATGGACCAAATGATTTACGGAACCGGAGATTAAGAATTAGTATGTTCTACGCAAACAAGCCAACAGTTATTGTGAAATGGTTTGTTATAAAAACACTTGAAGGTGTCTGCTTGTGTTTCACGCCGTGTCCGAATCCGGCATAAGAATCATAATGGCTCCTTCTCACCTGTCGACACACACACACACACACACACACACACACACACACACACTATATATATATATATATATTATATATATATATATATATATATATATATATGTGTGTGTGTGTGTGTGTGTGTGTGTGTGTGTGTGTGTGTGTGTGTGTGTGTGTGTGTGTGTGTGTGTGTGTAGCTTACACCCCGCACTGACCGCCAGCATATCGCATTCTTCATTATTCGTGGTATTAATAAAGTGTGCAGCCACATCAGTTTATCACTACCGCCACCAATATTCAATCACAACATAAGAGGTTCAACATTCTCTTACAGTATGCGCAGGATCTCTACAATTTTTATCTAATTTCCCTTCTTGAGTTACCTACTCCTGGGGACGGATTCTCAAACGCGTTAAGGCGCCGTATCTCCTTAAGGCGCCTTAACTTACGGCCGAGCGATCTTAAGCCCATACACAAAGCAAGAAAACAACCAGATTAGTGCGAGTCAAGGCGCCTTAGGTTAAGGCAGGGGGCGAGCAGCCTTTAGCGCTTAACGGCGGCCGGGAAATCGACTCTTCGCTCTCATACAAAGGAAATGCAGCAGGACGGTTAAGGACTCCAGCGCGCCTTGACATGACTCCTTTGTGAATCCGGCATCGATCGGTGAAAGGGGTACCGTACTATTCCTCATTCCTAGAATCGGCTCGGTCATTACAGGGGATTATCGGACCCTTTCGTTCACGCTTATACATGTCATTATGCAGATTATGATCGGGTTGGGAATGAGGAATCGGCTCCACAAAACAGGGCTTAGGCAAGGAAAATACTAACGAAATTACTTAGCGCCTCAGGCCTGAAGGGTTGGGTTTGGACCCACTGCGACGAGGGAGCCGAGGGATTATCTTTTTGTTTGGATGGATAGATATAGGGAAGGAAGGGGGGGAGTGTATGAAAGAGAGAGGGGAGGAGGGAGGGAGGGAGGGGGCAGACAGACAGAGAGACCCACAGGCAGACGGCAGAGAGAGAAACAGATCGAAAGAACGAGACAGAGAGAGAAAGGTTGGGGGGGGGGTGAGTGAGGACAAGAGAGAAAGCTTTGGTATAAAGAAAGCCTAGACACCTGACTGCCGGTAAGGCAAAGCCGTGTATTGTGTATCTGCTTAAGGTGGCCGGTCCTAAAAGGGGCGTGGCCAGTTATGGGGGTGTGGGGGGGTCATATTGGTAAATATTCCTAAAAAATAAATGGTCTTACGGATTTTGTTGATTTTTGGATATTTGATGTATTCTGCATATTTTGATACCAAATTTATGGGGTTCCCACATGGGGGGCGATGGCCCCCGCAAAAAAAGTTTTTTTTTTCCACATGTGTCTGCGCGGTTGATTCCTTGTCCCAGAGAATCATGTATTATGTCATGAAAAAAATTGTGAATGAACATTAATGAATTCCTAAGAGATCATCGAATCATTTTTTGGAAATTCGATTGTTTCCTTAGAAAAAAAAATCAAAGAAAAATCATTTTTCACATTTTTTTTAGATTTTTAATAATTCGTATAAAAAATATTAAAAAAATATATATATATATATATATATATATATATATATATATATATATATATATATACATATATACTTTATACATGTAAATATATTTTCTTATACATATAGATATCCTTTATTGTGTACATTTTTTTCTTTCCTTCTGTTTATTTTTTTTCGTAATGTCAAAAATATTAATATTTTTTTCATTTACACTTAACAAATATAAGAGGCCTTCAAGGGACAACAGTGTAACTACGCTACTGATCGTAATTCACTTGTTTCCTGCAGTGGCGAATTGTAGGCAGAGCGTAGGTTGCCACAGTTCATAAGCGGGAATGCATTTTAGGTACGCAGTCAGAATTTGCCATCTCTCGTTCTTCTTGTGATTTAGAATAATCACAATCTTCAAATTACAAATATATCAATTAAATGATAGATTGTCGAGTGATCATAGGCCTACCGATCCCTTATTCAATACGAAGACCAATTTCGCAGATATTATTTGCTGTTATTCAGTATCTTTTCGTACAACTTGAAATCGTGACGCTGCATTTGAGGGGAATGCGCAGGAGGTGATGGAAGAGAACAGACAACCCCATTCTAGAAGTCGCTTCGACCGTCAGCATGACATGCCCTTGCTGCTGCCATGCCTTCCTTGTTTACGACTAGGATGCAAAACACACTGCACCATGTCCAAAGGTGAAACGTAAAATGTTTGAATCTATGGAAACTTCACTTGATTTAACAATATTTTGGCAACACGATAGACAACTTTACTTTTTTGTATCAACACAAATATGTCTCTATTTTTCTTCTAAAGTTATCCCTGTACAAACGTAAATTCATGTTTTCTTTCTTTCTCTCTTTGTTCTCTTTACTTTTTTTTTTTTCTGTTGATTGGGCTGTTTCTATACGATCCTGGATCCTGGTTCGGGTACATGTGAATGAATACAGTTTAGCGGTAGGTCCACATCCTGATAAAAGGTCAAAGAATGCTACTCAGAGCTTCGCCCACGCACGCAGACACAAACATCCATTTTGTATTAATAGGATTAAGACGCACATACACGAATGGATGATGATGATGATGATGATGATGATGATGATAACAACGACAATGATAATGATAATAACATTAACAACAACGATACTGACAATAACAACGATAATGATCACAATAATAATGATAATGATAACATTAACAACAACGATAATGATCACAATAATAATGATAATGATAACATTAACAACAACGATACTGACAATATTAATAATGATAATAATAGCAATAATAATGATAATAATAATAATAACAACAACGATAATGATAATACCGATGTTAATAACAATAACTAAAAGCACTCAGATAGCTCATACTTCCGTCAAAGAATAGAGTCACTGATGCAATAAAAATAACATATATTCACACTTGAAGCATTACATTAAAATCACCTCTTTCTCAAGTACACTGGTGACGTCCGCATTTCCCTAGTTCACAGCACTAATGAATCCTTTAAAAAAAATCCTGTATTCGGATCACCAAATCTAATGACATCAAAGTAGGGTTAAGACACACATCTCTGGTAAAAATTCATATAAATCTACTTATAATTTCTTTTAGTTATTCTGCTTGTCAACTAACCAGCAAATTAACCAACGGTACCTAAAATAACATCCTTGGCGAAGATAAGGATGTTAACAGTGATAATGAAAATTATTATCTAAAAGAGATAATCATGATAATGATATCTAGTGCAACAACCATAGCAACAATAGTAAGAGGTACTTGTATTACTAGTAAATGATAATGATGATGATGATCATAATCATACTATGGGTAATGATGAAAATAAAAAAGGTGCTAATGATGATGATGGCAGGAATGAAGATGCTAATGATAACGATGGTAATGATATTAATGATAATGAT